TACATATATTTATAAGTCTTTCTTTGAAATCCCTGTCTATAAAACAAAACAAAAGGGCGATTGCATTTCTCACCAGTGGTGCTTATGTAAAGACCAAAGTATATACAAAATGCTGACTAAAAGACAGCGTGCGCACACACTCACTCACACACACACACCAATTAGAAATTTTACAAGGATTCTTTAAACTGCCTTCACAAAAATATGGGTATTTGGTTACACAATATGGCCATATCATGTTAATCACACCACTACATCACGGTACCCAAAATCGGTTGATTCCATACTAATTTTAACCCCTTAAGGACTGGACTGTTTTTGTGATGTTGTACATTTGCGACCAGGCATATTTTTACACTTTTGTGGTGTTTGTGTTTGGCTGTAATTTTCCGCTCTCTCATTTACTGTTCCTATACAAATTATATATTGTTTTTTTCAGGACAAAAGGGGCTTTCTTTACATACCATTATTTATATAATCTCATGTATTTTAATTTAAAAAAAAATAAAAAAATATGATGAAAAATTTAAAAAAATACATGTTTTTGGACTTTTACTTGAAAAATCTTTTACTCATCTACAAAAGCGAATGAAAAAAACTACTAAATAGATTCAAGATTTTGTCCTGAGTTTAAAAATACCCAGTGTTTCCTTTTTTTTTTTTGCTTTTATTTGCATGTTATAGGGCTATAGGTACAAGCAGGATATTGCGGTTTCAAAACATACACTTTTAAAATTTATCAATAGTGACATTGTAACACTATTATCTGTCATAAATCTCTGAATAACACCCCACATGTACATATTTTTTTTTAAAGTAGACAACCCAGGGTATTCAATATGGGGTATGTCCAGTCTTTTTAGTAGCCACTTAGTCGAAAACACTGGCCAAAGTAAGCATTCATATTTGTTTGTGTGTGAAAAAAGTAATAAAACTAAATTGAACGCTAATGTTGGCCAGTGAATGTGACTAAGTGGTTACTAAAAAAACTGGACATACCCCATTTGCAATACCTTGGGTTGTCTTCTTTTGCAAATGTTATGCCATCATGGGGGTAATTCTCATTCCTGGGCTACCATACGCTCTCAAAGGCAACGTAACCAACCTGGCCATTTTCAATGTAAAAATATTTGACCCATATATTTGACCTTGTAACTTTCAAAAATGCTATAAAACCTGTACATGGGGGGTACTGTTTTACTCGGGAGACATCGCTGAACACAAATATTAGTGTTTAAAAACTGAAAAACGTATCACAACAATTATATCATCAGTAAAAGTGCTGTTTGTGTGTGAAAAATGCAAAAAAGTAACTTTCACTGACAATATCATCACTGTGATATATTTTACTGTTTTGAATCACTAATATTTGTGTTCAGCTAAGTCTCCCGAGTAAAACAGTACCCCCCATGTACAGGTTTTAGGGTGTCGTAGAACGTTACAGGGTAAAATATAGTGCTAGCAAATTAAATTCTCTGGACTTTCGGCCTGGGTTGGCAGGCAGGTCCCTCAAATTGCAATCAATAAAATTACTTAATTATGTAAAATATTACATAAATACGCACATAGAATTTAAATATATATGCATATTTATATATTTGAAGTCTACGTGTATATTTATATAATTATTTATGTAATTTTGTATATGGACATATGTATATTTCGTATTATTTTTATTTATTTATATATACATAGATATATATACAAATTCATCCTCGGAATTCATCCTCGGTCCTTAAGGGGTTAAAATGATATAAACATGCTAACTGCAGTACATATTGTTTCAATAGATTTCAGAGACTTTTCTCAAATGTGTTATTTACTGTGGTCTCCTCCAAGTTGCCACCTAGAGTGGAGAGGTTAAGTGTTCAACCCAAAAAGAATCTAGTTTGGAATATACACACATAAAAATCGAATTGGGGGTCACACCCAAAATATGAACTTCTCAGCAGTGATGCTTCTCTTAAGACCAAAATAAATTTATTTTTCTTACATTTTACAAATCACCTATCTTAGCAAACAAATATATTGGTTGGTTACATTGTGTCTGTGTGAGCGCGCTGTTCCTTAATCTGTATTTTGAAATAACACAAAAAAGGGTTACAAATGGTCTTAATATTAAGAAGAACACTTAGAACGTGAAGCACCATTATCTTTTATCTCTTCCTGCTTTAATGACTTTATTTTGGCAGGGAGTTCTAAGCACTGGCTATGTTTCTGTAGTTTGTAACTTTTATACTCCTCTTGTGTTAAGGAACAGACATGTTTGCTTTCATTTTGAAAAGACACTCGTTGAGCAATTTCTGTAAATAAACACGAGAATTCAAATGTCAAAAAAGGGATGTCAAGTGAATGTCGCCTCTTTTTATTTTGATATAAAAATTTACTATACCGTTAAAATTGAAACAGCAAATGAATGATGGAGCAGAAAATGAAAAAAAAACAAACATATGAAATCAAAATACTCAGATATGGGTAAAACTGAACTTGAAGTTTCTGAAATTTTTATTGCGTTTGTGGTTATGGATGTATGTTGCAACTCACATAAGAACAAAATTGCATGTGTTTCAGAGTAAAAGAAAATTGTTTTATGGCATGGAGCCAAAACCTTCTTATAAGAAGACGAGAGGGTGAATGTGAGAAGGCTAAAATATAGTGTCAAGTGCTCTAGAGAGGACAAGGGTGCTACTATGACACCCTCAGGGCTGCCTAGAATACTCTCAATTACTTTGTTTGAAAGTTCAATCATGAAGGTGCAGTGTTAGCAAGTGGGTTGGGATGAGAGAAAAGCAAATATATATTTATGGTTAAAAATCTAATTATCATGGGACACTGACTGAACTATTTTCCATGCCAGTTGTCCATTACAAATTCAGTATAAAGCAAATATACAACATTATATTCTATATTTATATTTAGACTCCATTCCTAACCCAATATCTAGTGTTTGTAATAATGGAATTTTGGTCCCAGATTAATATGTTTGGATAAGCTTTTCAAATTATTTAATATTTTTTAATAAACTTTTAAAATAATTTTTTAAATTCTAAAGGATCACTAAAGTCACCCAGAGTACTTCATCTCAATGAAGCGGTCTGGGTGCAGTGGTCCTGTAATTTTTACCCTATTTTATGGTATGTGTAATACTGTAATATTCACATTGCAAGGTTAAATCCACTCTAGTGGCTGTCTTCTTTTATATTTATATCTGCAACCATATCTTTGTTTTCTGTGTAGTTACTCTCTCCTGTTAAACTTTAAATTTAACAACTCTTTCTGGCAGGTTGATTGTAAAGTTATTGACACCACACAGCATTGCAAAGGGATGTGGATGGGGGATCTTACCTATAGTATTTTGTCTGACACCCTGATGAAATTAGGTTCGGTTCTGTGTAGTTTGTTAATTTTGGGGTAATCTAAGATACCCATAGACATTAGGTTCTCGAAGTCTTGGAGGTGACCAGCTACTGGAATAAGTGTGGGGATTCAGGTAAACGCCCCCTTAAAGCAGCTTAACATTTCGATAAAATATTATTTGTTGGCGGAACGTGAGTAGTCATTTCACCACAATATTCTTTATTTTGGTAATAGTAGATTAAAAGAGATGGATGGATGTGTTTGTATGAACCAAAATCCAACCCTGTGCTTTGAACCAAAAGTTGTATATATACCAGCAGTAAAGAAAATCCACAACCTCGGTACAGAATTGTCCAAATATGATATATGCACAATAGTATTAATTTGGTTGTTTGTGTCATTGTTATTTGTGTTGTCATTTTTCAAATGTTTTCCAATGTCAAGGAGGGATTACGTCATAGTATGAGTGTTTCTTCTGAGTGGCAATCTAAAGCAATATCAGACAATAATGTAGTTTCCAGTGCTTCATCCACGTTCTTCTTTGAAATATCACACTACATGTAGCCATAAACCAGGATATACAACTGTAAATGAAAATGAACATTCATATGATGCAGTCAGAAAGAGAAGTACATTTACACAATTGTTTAGGGTACATAAAAAAGCACAACATGTGAAAAAAATGAGATGGAAATTTTATTAGGGAAAAGGGTTAAATTTAAGGTCCTGTTTTGACATCTGTTTTTGTGCTAGTAATGTATCCCTCTGAGGAAACTGTAGATACATAGAAACTCATGACTGATCTTCACTGATCTTCCTGTATATTTATGCTAATGACTGAGTCCTCTGCCGTCATGTTTAAAAACATATTAGCTTTTTTTGCACATATGCTTCCTTACAAATAAACCCTCTTTATTCTATCATAATGTATGTCACCTTCGACCTCCCCCTCCCCCAATCCTTTCTCTGGTACAATTCATGAAATTCATGGCTTGGTGTTTTTGGACTCATCCTGGTCAGCAGGAAAGTCTCTAATAAGTTCCATATGTGAAAATAATGGTGCGAGTCCAACAATTTAAGTTATCAAAATATAGGTTAGCTAGGTAAATGTTATGAAATTCTTTTAAGTGAACACACGGTCTGCCATATTTGGTTAAAGATAATATAGAGGTCACAGGAGATATCAAATTTAGACCCAAGAAAACTGCTAGTGTGGTACTTCATTCCTTGGGAAGCAGCAAGAGGAAACCACATGTGTGCCTTACTTGTATTTACACAAAACCAATATTTACAGTCTCAGGGAACACCTAGGATTATGTATAGCTTTATATAATTTACCCTGTGACATTGCTCATCTAATCTCTGTATTTTGCTGTTTTTATGAATTTCTGTTGAGCACGGAATGGACTCTGTAACACATATATGAAATTCATCAGGGCAGAAAGGTCACATACTAAAACATATATGACGCTTTTTTTAGTAAATAGCAGAGTAGTGCTTTACTTGTTTGTAGTTTGTTGAAACAGATGTAACATTAAATTGTTATATATAAATTCGGACTAGTCACTGGGGTAAACTTGGAAAATGTCTAGTGGGCAGCAAATGTCTTGGGTCGAGGCCAAATAAATCAAAATAGTAAATAACCCAGGGGCAGGGGCACGAGGTGCTCCGTGCCCAGGCACCAGAAGGTCGGGAGCGCCCCCGGGACAGTGGAGTTGTGTGGGGACAGAGGTGGCCATTCCCCCCTCCAAATGAAATGCTGTCCAGGGTCCTGAGCTAATGTACTAGCTGAGGGGCTCCTTAGCCTCTCCCTAGTTCAGCAATGTGTGTGCTCTCTCTTGGCGCTGAGCAGCTACTGTAAATATCCTGCCTGGCACCGAGTGTCAGCCTGCCTGATATGCATCAATCGCTGATGGGAGGTGTATGGCCAGCGGTGGAGCTCCATATGAGCACTCCCTGTATGGCTCCCTCGAGTACTCTGTTGAGGGCCCGGGAGCCACAAAATTTGGCCCAGGGCGAGCAAGGGAGCTGCACAAGGAGTGCTCATATGGATTGGAGCTCCATCATAGGTGCACAGCAGCATCCAATACTGGACACCAGAGGACTATGGATCCACTCCAGTGCTCCTAAAGGTAAGGAGACTGTGTGGCAAACAAACTCTAAGGTTTCTAATAACTCTGCTGTTGAGTTAAATCCTGAGTGCCTGGACTACATCTGTGGTTGTTTATGTGGCTCAGTGTATTTGAGTGTGTTTCACGATGTGTGTATGTGCCAACAATACTGCCGCCAGTTCCCCCACTAAAGCCCTAATCCACAACAATACTGTTCATATACTTCCCAGCTGAAAGTCCCCACAATTCTGCACATAACCGCATACTAAAGCCCCAACTCCACACAATACTGTTGCTACCCCCTCACTCTAATGCCTCTACCCTCCAGAATACTGCCCCATTACAAGACAATTCTGCCCCTATACCCCACACTAAAGAACTTATCCCCCACAATACTGCCACTATTCCACCAAACTAAATTGCCAATACCCACAATAGTGTACCTAAGCCCCACTAAAGCCATAACCACCCACAATACTGTTTCTACCCACCCCCACTCTAATGCCTCAACCCCCAAAATACTGTCCATGATCCAAGACAATACTGCCACTATCCCCCATGACATGGCCCCTATCACCCCACTAAAGTCCCAGTTCCCCACAATACAAATCCTATCCCCCACTTCAAAGACTGCCCCTATTCCCAGACAATACTGCCCCTATCCCCCACATTAAAGCCCTTATCCCAACCTTGCGCCTCCAACCTTGGCACACTAAATCGACCCGCTCCCTGCAGAGATGTTCCCGTTCCAGCTGAACGCTGTTGGAGGAAGTCCCGCACCTTGTCAGACTTTCTCCATTATAAATAAAATAAATTTTGTGTTCATATAGCACAGCCCTCATTCTTGCTAAACAATCCTACTTTTCTTCGCTTGTTAGTTCATGTTCACGCAATCCCATGCCGAACCGAATCAAATATTTTCCCCATGCACATCTCTACAGGTATACGATATAAACCTTCTAAAGCCCTGGAAAGCTAGAGAGTAGTGATGTCCCGAACGGTTCGCCGAACGGTTCACCGCAGTTCGCCACGAACGGTTCGCCACGGACTCCAGTCATCAGACACATTCCAGCCAATCAGCAGCAGACCCTCCCTCCCAGACCCTCCCACCTCCTCCCACAGCTCACTAAGAATGCAGCCTTAAAATGGATGCTGTCCAGAAGGTGGGATGGTCTGGGAGGGAGGGTCTTCTGCTGATTGGCTGGAATGTGTCTGCTGTCTGGAGTCTGTGGCGAACCGTTCGGCGAACCGTTCGGGACATCACTACTAGAGAGACCGGTGTATTATTTGGGACGCCCACCGTAGAGGTCCACACACTTGTTCCATAAGTAAAAATTTCTACTGACCTTACTCCTGAGTAACAGAGTGAGGTCAGAGAGCTGCTATTAAGGAATGCAGACATATTCTCTACCATCCCAGGTAGGACCAATGCAATAGTCCATGAGATTGTAACAGACCCTGGAATACTTGCAAAGTCAAAACCGTATAGAGTCCCAGAAGCAAAACGGGAGGCAATAGTAACTGAAGTTGCAAAAATGTTGAAATTAGGGGTTATTGAAGAGTCTAGCCCCATTGTCCTGTACCAAAACCAGACGGCTCGCTACGGTTTTGTAATGACTTCAGGAAACTCAATGAGTGTTCTAAATCTGATGCATATCCTTTACCTAGGGTAGACGAGCTTGTCGAGAAATTGGCACCGGCTAGGTGTCTGAGTTGTCTTGACCTTACCAAAGGTTATTGACAGATTGCCGTGTCTGAATCTGCTAAGGAAAAGACTGCTTTTGTGACCCCTGAGGTTCTTTATCAATATACAGTGTTGACGTTTGGCTTACATGGGGACCCTGTAACCTTTCAGAGGTTGATGAATAAGCTGTTGAGACCCCATTCCGCTTATGCCTCTGCTTATTTAGATGATCTAGTCATCTACAGCCAGGACTGGGAAACTCACTTAGACAAAGTTAAAGCAGTACTGGATACATTGAGGGTTGCAGGTCTCGCGGTTAACCCTGCCAAATGTATACTAGCATGTCCGGAAATTAAGTACTTGGGGTATACTATAGGACGAGGCATGGTCAAACCTCAAATCCATAAAATAGCTGCCATTGAAAAATGGCCCCGTCCCTTGAGAAAAAAAACAGGTTAGGGCTTTTCTTGGTATTGTCAGATACTACAGGAGATTTATACCCCATTTTGCCACCCTAGCTTCCCCCTTAACTGAGTTGACAAGAGCAAGGAAATCGAAAATCGTTCAGTGGAGTCAGGAAGCCGAAGTGGCATTTATGAATTTGAGGACGGCCCTATGCTGTCATCCAGTCTTGATAGCCCCAAACTTTAATGAGCAATTGTTTCTACAGACTGATGCTTCAGAGGTGGGTCTTGGGGCAGTATTGTCACAGTGTGTAGGGGGTGAGGAACATCCTGTGCTCTACCTTAATCGTAAACTGCTGCCTAAGGAACGGAATTATGCTGTGGTAGAGAAAGAATGCCTGGCCATCAAGTGGGCTGGGGAGTCCTTAAAGTATTATTTGTTGGGTCATTCATTTACTCTAGTGACGGACCATGCTCCTTTACAATGGATGCAGAGGAACAAGGAAAAAAATGCAAGGGTCACCCGATGGTTCCTTTCCCTTAAGCCCTATCAATTTGTATAGAAGCATAGAGCCGGCCTCCAGCATGCTAGCGCAGATGCATTATCTAGACTGCATAGTCTCTATGTCACTGCCACTCCTCCCTGTTGTGTTCCGCTGGGGGAAAGGATATGTGGCAGTGTGAGGGAACACTGCTATATTAGCCCCAGAATGGTACTTTCAGTGTTCCCTGACTAGAGGGGGTTAAAAATCAGGTTGCTCTAGTACAGAGATAGGCAACCTTCAGCACTCCAGATGTTTTGGACTATATCCCCCATAATGCTCTTACAGCCGTAATGCTGGCAAAGCATCATGGGAGGTGTAGTCCATAACATCTGGAGTACCGAAGGTTGCCTATGCCTGCGTCTAGTACATCAATTAGGAAGCTACATAAACCCTAAGCAGAGGGAAATCAGTCTCTCCTGTGAAGAGCTGGGGCGGAGCCAGAGAGACTGTGAGTCAAAGAGACTGCTGAAACTGTGTGGAAAGTAAAGGTATTTTGCAAGCCTTTATTTTTATTTGTTAAACTACTGGAGTCAGCTTAGCTGCCCAGAAGCATAGAAAGGGTACTCAATGTTACTTAGTCTCCAGTGTGGAGTAGGAGTTTATTTTGGTTTAATGGTTTGCTGTGGCTAAATTTGGGGCTAGATTGCTAAATAAAGCTTTCCTTATATTGGAAGAAAGAACTGTTTCTGTTTATGACCCAAGACCCGGCCAGCCTGCTGCAAAATATATTAAAAAAACAACAAAATTTACCAAAAAGAAAACATTACAATTACAATTAAAGCTTTGTTCTAGAGATTGTTTGCTCTGTGCCAAATAGTTCCACAGGAAAAATCAGTTGGAAACCCCTGCCCTAAATGTTTCCCCGGTCTATTTCCCTAAATGTCCACCCTGTCCATCTTCTTTACCTAAATGTCGGGGCTGTCTCCTTTTTCTAAATGTCTATTCTGTCTGTCTTTTTTCCCTAAATGTATTCTCACTCTCACTGGTCCATCTTTTTCTGTTCCCTAAATGTCTTCTGAGTTTTCCAGACATTTTTAACTAAATTTCTTTGACTGTCTCTCTTAAACAAGAATAGGCAAGTAGACACTTTTAGAGTCTATTCACTTAACACTGATTTGAAAGATCAGTTAAAACTTAAGCAAAGGTGTGTTTTGGTTTCGTGTCGTCCTAGGCATGACTAAATCTGGGCACTCCCCTAATCTAAATTTGCCCCACCCCTTCCTGTCAACCTCCTCCTGAATAAGAACCCACCCCTTCATCTTCAGACACCACCTACTTCCTACTCCTTTTAAAGGGATACTCTAGTGCCAGAAAAACAAAGCTGTTTTCCTGGCACTATAGATCCCTATAGTGCCCCCCTACCTTGTGCCCCACCCTGCCACCCATTTGGCACTGAAAGGATTAAAACCCCTCAGTCCCTTACCTGAATCCAGCGCTTGTGTCCCTCGGCGCTGGATCGGGCTCCTCCTCCGCGCTTTCATTAGGCTTCCCCATAGGAAAGCATTGTACCAACGCTTTCCTATGGGAATTTAGCAGACACAGGATGTCCTCATGCACAGCTTGAGGACGTCCAGCATCAGTTAGGCGACTTTTTGTCGCCTAACCACCCGAAAGTCCCTCTGGTAGACTAGAGGTGTAGTTAACCCCTTAAGGCAGGGGTTCTTAAACTTTTTAAACAGGGGTCCAGTTCACTGTCCCTCAGACACTGTTAGGGGCCGCACTATAGTTTGAAAAAATTTGAACAAATTCCTATACATACCGAAACATACATACAAACACATACATTATGACACACATACAAACACATACATGCACACAGACAGGCAGACAGACACATACTGACATACATACATACACACACACACACACATACTGACAGACACACAAAGACAGATATACAGGGAGTGCAGAATTATTAGGCAAGTTGTATTTTTGAGGATTAATTTTATTATTGAACAACAACCATGTTCTCAATGAACCCAAAAAACTCATTAATATCAAAGCTGAATATTTTTGGAAGTAGTTTTTAGTTTGTTTTTAGTTATAGCTATGTTAGGGGGATATCTGTGTGTGCAGGTGACTATTACTGTGCATAATTATTAGGC